ACCCCCACGTTCCCCGCCCAACCTTCGATTTTCTCCCCCCCCCCCGCCCGCCCCGGAGATGCTCTGCCCTAGGAAGATGATCTTTAGCCAAGTTCTTCTTCCTGTCAGCAAAAAGCTTTAGAAAAAACCTCCCAACCTAACTTAAATTTCTGAGTGCTGCAATCCCAACAAATCTGTAGGATGCCAGGCCAGGAATGCCTTTTGCAATGTATAAATATGTAATGCGTTTTTGATTGCCTTAAACCGTTATAGTAAAATATTTATTATTTTTATATACATATAGCTTTAGCACTGGTTCAGTTATGATGCTAATGAATGATCTCAATCTTTTCGCAATATGGAAAATGGACAGAATATATTTCATGTTCATTCGTGCAACTTAAACATGACTTTCAGTGTTGCTGAAGAATACCAAAAGAATGAGAGTTTTCCTTTGTCTCACTATGCATATTAACTTCAACAAATGGATGCTTGTCTTAAAAAAGCAGATTTAAGCAATTCATTTATACTTTTCGCATCTATAGCAGAAACTCTCAGCTGGGTCCTCACAATGCCAATATGCTATGCTCTCAACATTAATGATGTTATGGTGGCCCCATCTCATTCCATCTGCAGAGGATGATGAGATTGGTGCTTATTCCAGAATTGGCCAGAGGAGGGTGATGTGCTACTTGCGAGAAAGGGGGAGCATACCAGTTTTTCATTATCTCCCTACCATCCTTGCTTCCAGCATTTGCAGTCTGAAGCAGCTTCCTCATTCCACCTAAAGACAGGACAGCCCCTACTGATTTTTCATCTATGGTAGGAAGAGAACCAGATCCTTCTTTACATTTCACTTCCTAATTTTTCAACATTGTTTTGAAAGGATGCATCTGTACTGCTGAATTTCTAACATTTTGCAATCCCAGACTTCATTGCAACATTGTCCTAAGTGGATTTCATCACTTGGCCCAAGCCCATTGATAACTGCTGGAAAAACCCTGCATCCAAAAAGTTTCTGAAAGGGCATGGAATGGACTAGGCCTATGTCAAAGACGATGGAGATGATTTCAGGCGGTTCTGCAAGCCCACCTGTCATAAATCTGCTGGCAAGATTCTGTGCCCCTTCATGGATCACTGCCTTGTCGTGGCAAAGGGGCTTGCGTAACTCAATGAAGCCATGAGCTATACCGTGCAGGGCCACCCAAGACGGACAGGTCATGACAGAGTTCTGACAAAATGTGGTCCA